TGATGAAAGAAACATGCCCCTCTTTGAGCGTTAGTAACATTTCTTCTATGTCAGGGATTCTCATCCTTCGTAAAGCCACGACCCTTCAATACAGTTCATGAAGTTGTGGCGACCCCCGGCAATACAACTTTTTTCGTCGCTACTTGATAACTTCAATGAATGTGTGTTTTGCCATGGTCTTTGGCGACCCCTGTGAAATAGTCGTTCGACCCCTGTGAAATAGTCGTTCGACCCCAAAAAAGGGGTCGCGACTTATAGGTTGAGAACCACTGTTCTATGTCATCAGATATAGGCAACACTTATAATCCTACATTCATATTTTCCATGTTAGTTGTCACAACGGATCTAATACTATAAAATCTAATATGATCTCATCATCATCATCATCGTGTAGCAGGTCCTTTGCAGAACGTCGCTCACATCACGGTCTGCCTGAAAGAAACTCGGTATTTCGCCAGTTCTCCCGCCTTTTATACTTAAGGAGTCACTTATATCCTGTGCCCATCTTCGTGTTAGTCGGCCCCTAACCCCCTTTCCTGGTACCATGCTTTCTGTTATAATTATTTTCCAATCCGTCGTGGCGTTTGATATGACCAAAATGTTTCAGCGTCCGAGACAGGATGCTGTTTATTAGCCAATCTTCTGTGATGTTCAGATCTGTCAAGAATTCAGCATTTCTCCTTTTTTTGTCCAAGATATTCTGAAAATCTTTCTATAGCATTTCAGCTCAATAGCACATGCGTAAACAAGATCATAACTGTTTGTGCATGTTTTATTCTCGATATTATTCGGCTCTGTGGCTGTGTCGATGCGACCGCTTCGTGATGCCGGAATGCCGGGTTCGATTCCCGCTGCGGGCCATGCTCCTTGCGTTGGTTTTGACAGCGGTATCAAGAAAGCCGACCGTCCAGGGAGCAATGGCAAACTACTGGACGTAAATTTGGTTCTTCAACGTCCTGTAAAGGATACGCAACTAACCTTATTATTCATAATTTTTTTTACAAAAAGGAACAATTCGACTTTCTTTGGTACCCATGGGACGGCCAAGATACAAATAATAAACGGGACACAGAAAACATAAGGGGGAGGGGGGAGGGGTGGGGTTCTTATGTTGAAAACAGGACGTACACTTTACTGCTGGGGAAAAAATGGGGCGGGGTGGGTGGTTTGCCCTTTGTCATGTGCCAGGTTGAACAATTACAGCGGCGAACAGCATTTTTAAAGAAGCTAAAATAATTTACAAAACAAATGCTAAACTATAATCCAAAAAGGTTTTTCTTAAACAGTCACAGTCTATACTTTTCTATACGGATATACTTTTCGTTTGTTTTTTATATCTGTCCTTGATAGTAGTAATTGAAATCAGCGTTCCTTAACCTTTTTACACTATACTACATATTACTTCGTAACCGTTTTGTAGTTCCCCAGCAACTCTGCTGTATAGCTGTATGGTTGAACTGGATTTTCGGGATTTGTAGCTGTTTGATTCTGATCCTTGATATGTTGAACCTACAGATTACAATCCTGTAAAAAAATAAATCTCCTCCACCCCCTCCCCCCCCCCCCCGTGTTACTGAAACAAGCACGCAAATGTTTTTACTGTTGGTGCACCTGGCACTTCCGGCTACTATAATGAGCAAACGATTTAACAACAAAAGTGGAATAATTCCATGGTCGACAATATTTTAGTGTATATTTCAGATTATATTGTTTTCACATAATTGTTGTTTAACATTGTCGTGAAGTGTGAGTATAATTTGTTCAACTTGATGGAATTATTTCTAGAATGTTAACTATAATCCATTATATTATCTTTGAAAATTATAAAATGTCGCGACGAGAGGCCACACACTATGTCGCTGGCACAACAGTACAACACAATTAATTATAGGGCAGAAGGAATATTGAATATCAATAAAAGCGAACAGTGACTTTCCATCCTGGAATGATTCATTAAAAAAAATACATTATAAGGGACCGAACAAGAGAGACATGCAATTCGATGTAGTATGTAGTCGTTGTATTATTATTCATTATTATTGAATTATTACTATTATTACAGTATTGAGTATTCGGCTCTCCTGTCAAATCCGGACGAAGAATAAAAAGCCTTGGACGACTTAGTCAGTTCTCTCCCTTGGCCGCAAACAGTGATCGGAAAAGCCAACGAAACAAACGACACACTTACCTATCATCATACGGTTGCGTGTAGGGCTGCGTACGGTTGCGTGAGGCATCGTGAAGGGATGCGTAGTCATCATACGGTTGCGTGCATGGTTGCGTACGGTTGCGTGAGGCATTGTGAAGGGTTGCGTAGTCATCATACGGTTGCGTGTAGGGATGCGTAGTGTTTGGGTTTGAGTTAGGGGTAGGGTTAGGGTTTAGAGTTAGGGGTAGGGTTAGGGTTAGATATTAAAATTTTGACGTAGGATTTCGAAATACTGGATGACAATCTGATGTTTGTAGGAGTGGCGCCACTGAAACTCTGCCAAATATGACGCCAATAGCGTGCAGATGGTGCCCCCAATCGTTGGCGAAATGTGCGTTTGACCAGCATCCAGAGGCCCTCGATTGTTTGTGTGTGTATGGGACTGTGCGCGATTATAGGGAACTCCGGCGTCAAAATTGTCAAATCTAACGCTAAACCTAACCCTACCGCTAATCCTAATCCTAATCCTACACCCTAACCCCTACCCCTAACCACGCAAATGTATTGATCATTAAAGCATACAAATCGACAAAAACCAACAAACAAAACACACCCAAAAAAAACCAGAATTGTCCTGCAGCGTCGAAAAAAAACCCAGATCTGGGGGAAACAACCAAGCATTGGCAGCCCTGATGTCGACGTGACTGTCTTCTTTGTTTCGTTGGCTTTTCCGATCACTGTTTGCAGTGCAGCCAAGGGAGGGAACTCTGACTAAGTCGTCCAAGGCTTTTTAGTCTTCGTACGGATTTGATAGGAGTACCCAGTATTCTTCTACCCCGTCAAACCAAAACTCTATCTATGAGAACCCTATTCAGATTATTATTGATTATTAATATTATTAATTATAAAGAAAGAAAGCAGTCATGATAAAAGTCAGATTCATTATACACATCAGTCAGATGTAGTATTCCATCACATTATGATAACAGAATTAGTGTCATGAAAAGATATCAGACCAGACTAAAAAAAGTAAAAGTGAAACTACATTATCACAGACACAAGTTATGACAAGTGGCGAGTGCTGAAGGTAAGAGCAGTGCGCTCACACATTATGCCTTATCTGTCTATTGTCAGTTCTTAACTCAGCAGTTAATTTGAGCATCAGACATTATGACTAGTTTGGCGTCATGATGATGATATCTCCATAGAAATAGAGTGTCCATGTACAAACAAAGTGCAGGTCTAGGGTGTTAGGCCGAAATCAATAGTTTTCTCAGGTATGCATATATCTTGGGTTGTCGGAGGCAAATGATGATGAGAAAAATGTCTGTTGTGCATATGTTTGGTTCAGACAAATGTGTTTCTTCAAGAATAAGGTCCGGTCTTTTTGCCTAACTCCTTTAGAACGGCATTTTTCCTGGGGATTGGACAGAATTAATTTTGTGCAGAATTGTGTACTGCAACATGACAAAGCTAAAACCTTCCTAAAGAAAAAGTATTGGCTTTATCATGACATAATAAATCAAGGCTATCCTCAGAATAATGGTCCCAGATTATCGAGGCCAAAAATGTACCCTAACAGAGCCTCAGTCACATGTTGCTTGCCAGCTAGTCTGCTTGCTCATCACCCTAAAGTAGAAAAATTTAGAGTTTAAAATCTGCCCAAAGTATTTCGGTATCCTCACCGGTGCTACAGAGTTCGTGCACTGCGCTGAGATTCTTCTGACTCAGACTTGGGTCAGAAGTAGAACAGAGCACTTATGGGTTACTATCATTGTGCTGTGTTGTTGATCCGCTGCCTAAACCTACCTTATAAGTAGTGTCCAGTTTATTCTCTATCACTGGAGAAGATCTGCAGTATACTCAGTCCCCTGATGCAGCAGCTACTTCTGGGTACCTCTACTGATTGCTCTCACGAACAGTTGGCTATAATGTCTTCAGTCTTGTCCTCAAAGATGGCATAGATGTGCTTCAACAAGCTGGCCCTGCTTGGTGGCAGAAGTCTCCTGACACTAGATGCTGTGGGAGAAGAAGAGTGGTTGTTGTCTCTGCCTCTTTTCCCCACCAAAATGGAAAGTAAAGGGGTTAAGGAGGCAGGTATGCCCAAAATAAATCCTAAGAAGACTGCTGATGAGAGATGCCCAGTGTGCAGTGACATCGATTGTGATAACAAAACATAAAATAACATCTTGTAGGGAGTCGGCAGTCCGAAACCCAAGTTCAAGGTGTCTCCTTTGTGCCAAAGAACTGCATGGCTGTTGGGTGAACAGTCGTTAACGAAGGCAGGCAGGTCGTTGAAGGGGTGACGCCTGCTGGTGGATGTAATGTCTTAAGTCCCTTCCCCAGCTAATAGTGAGGGTACTGCTGGGGTGACCCTTTATTAACCCTCACATAAAGCTTCAGGTCAAAATGGACCTTAGGCACGGCCACCATTTTTTTTTTCTTTTCTAGCCGTGGCAAATGGTTTTTTTTTGTTTTTTTATGCTCTGCTAGTCGGTGGCCGTTGCATTTTTGCTCCATTTGTAGACTTGAAGGATACAGTTTCGTCGCCCTGCTTCTGAGGAGTGCATGGGGTGACACTGTGAACTACGTGTGTTTTTTGTTGGCACAGGAGTGGAGCTACTATGGGGTGACCCGTTTGCTATGAAGCTGAAACTAGGATTACCAGATTAGCAGCTGACGAGAGAGACCAAAGTTGCTGGATTGGATATTATCCGTGATATTGATCCGATTGCACAGGAAAGAGCAAAATGGTGGAGACTGCGAGCCCTTTGTGACATTTTATGGCACAACAGGATAAAGAAAATCTCATAACGTTTATGCTTTTATTCAGCAGAATCTATTCAGCACCATGTATAACGGGATTGGGCTTCAGACTCCCAGAGGCAGTGGCACCAACGGGTACGTCCAGCGGAACCTGGCCTTCGTCAAGTCTAAAAAGGATCGGATTGACTACAAGACCGAGGAGGAGATCAACAAGCTGGATCAGGGACTCAATAAACAACCCAACAGAGAAATTCTCGATCATGAGAGGAAGAGGAAGGTGGAACTGAAGTGTATGGAGATGCAGGAGTTGATGGAGGAGCAGGGGTAGGTACACTGATGTCATCATCATCATTGTTATCATTATCTCCACAGAGTCCCATTCTGGAGAGGGCAGTGGGGAGAACACTCACTGTTTGGTCACCCCCCCCTCCTCCCCAAGCATGTCCTGAAAGGCCACTGATTAGGAGTACTTCCTTTGAAGTTGGAATGCATCTGTCTGAGTGTCAAGGAGCCATCAGTCTGCATAAATATATGCCAGATCTGTAAAACAAGTGCGCACATAAAACTTATACCCAGAAGTAAACGAGTAACTATAACTCTGTGCCAGAGTTTACAGCTGGTGAACACTAAAATGAAGAAGAAGATCCTTATTATCACCATTCTTATTTTCTTATTAATGAGATATCGTCTGGTTCATTGTTTAAAGTGATAACATTTAGTTTGGTTCTTCCTGGTTTTTTTTTTTTTTCAAGTGTTAAACAGTTTTTATGTTTTAGGTCAGGGCTTCTCCACTAAATTAACTCAGAGGCCGCAGTCCCTACATAGACAGATCACTAACACAATACAACTGGCTGTGATCCATGGGCTACTTCCTAGGCCTCTGTGGGCCACCAGTTGAATAGCCCTGTCTTAAGTTAATCCGGATCTAGTGCTATCTATCCAGCACCACGCCGGTCGCCTTTACTTCCAAGTACCTGGTACCCATTTTAGCCTGTCTTTATTTAAAATCTGCCTCCAATTTAGATGAACACTATTTTTCTTGATTGTCATCTTCCTCACCATTTTGTTCGTCTGTGACTAGAGAAGTGGCTATTATTCTCTGTGTGTTTGCTTTGGCAGAAAAGTCGCTAGTATTCTCTGTGTGTTTGCTTTGGCAGAGAAGTCGCTAGTATTCTCTGTGTGTTTGCTTTGGCAGAGAAGTGGCTGTTATTCTCTGTGTGTTTGCTTTGGCAGAGAAGTGGCTGGTATTCTCTGTGTGTTTGCTTTGTCAGAGAAGTGGCTGGTATTCTCTGTGTGTTTGCTTTGGCGGAGAAGTGGCTGGTATTCTCTGTGTGTTTGCTTTGGCAGAGAAGTCGCTGGTATTCTTTGTGTGAGGTTGCTTTGTCAGAGAAGTGGCTGGTATTCTTTGTGTGAGGTTGCTTTGTCAGAGAAGTGGCTGGTATTTTTTGTGTGAGTTTGCTTTGTCAGAGAAGTGGCTGGTATTCTTTGTGTGAGTTTGGTTTGTCAGAGAAGTGACTGGTATTTTTTGTGTGAGTTTGCTTTGTCAGGGGAGTGGCTGGTATTTTTTGTGTGAGTTTGGTTTGTCAGAGAAGTGGCTGGTATTTTTTGTGTGAGTTTGCTTTGTCAGGGGAGTGGCTGGTATTTTTTGTGTGAGTTTGCTTTGTCAGGGGAGTGGCTGGTATTATTTGTGTGAGGTTGCTTTGGCAGAGACGTCGCTGGTATTCTTTGTGTGAGTTTCCTTTGGCAGAGACGTCGCTGGTATTCTTTGTGTGAGTTTGCTTTGGCAGAGAAGTCGCTGGTATTCTTTGTACAAGGTTGATTTGACAACTTTTTGATATTATAATATTCACTTTTCGATTCATTGAATTTACCATATGTTCATTAATTCCCGGACATTCTGGGCCCTATTGTAGAGGGAGATAGACTCTCAACCCCCCTCCATTTCCTCTTTTCCCTATACAGCTGACCCTGCATCCATTAGTCAGTCCAAAAACGGTGCGCTTTTTTTTTTAAATCTTTAATTGCAGGTACTTTTTAGATTAACTCATCTGAAGTGTTAGTTTTAGTTTCCTCCCAGTGTTTTTTTTTTAAATTCGTTAAACAGATATTGGCTGCTTTAAACTAGAACTTATTAACACATTTTGACGCTGGTGCAGAAGGAGCTAAAATTACCTGAAAACTTCGGTTTAAAAAAAAATGAGTGCTTATGTGTGTTTTTTTTCAGATATTCTGAGAAGGAGGTGACCGAAAAAGTGAACATGTTTCGCAAGATGCTGATGGCCAAAGAAGGCGTTTCGGATTCACCAACAGTGGAGAAGGATGAATTTGGTCGCCCAGTGTAAGTTTATTTGCAATTTTTCATGTATTGTTCATGAAAAAATTTTTTTTTTTTTTAAACATGTTGTAGTTTCAGTTTTATTATTTTTTATTTTTTAAACAAAGACAAAAAGTCTTGAAACAGGTTAAAAAAAAGAAATAGAGTTGATCAGATGGATCATCACAGACCTCAGAAGTGAAGGATGTAAACCCATGCCCTGTTCTCACTCTATTAACCTTTTGACAAGGAAATGACCCAGAACATAGTCTTCAAACACTGAACAGTCCCCATGTGGCTTCTGCGACAAAGTATGGGAGATTATAAACAATTACTGCCTCCCTAACAAGCATATCATAGGAGTCAATTAATTAGGGGTTTCCTTCAAAGTCTGAATGCATCTGCCTGAGAGGCAAGCAAACAACAATCTGCACATAAATAAGCCAGACCAGTACACGCAGCTCTGATTATGAAACCAGACTCACAAGTGGTTCAACTGATAGGCCAGGTAAAAGTTTGGATGGGCAGCTTAAAATGTATGCCTAGTCATGAATTTGGGTAGGCTAGAAAGTTGTTTTCTTCCAGGATGCTGTCTATAGGTTAGTATCTCAAATTTGAGGATCAAAAGATGTTGCATCGGCTGAACATTTTAAATTTTTTTGTTTTTAAATGTCATCTGCATTTGTTTCTTGTTTCATGAACTGTCAGGTGGACTGTGAAAAGATTTGCCTTGTTTTGGTGGGCTGTGGGTGCATTTTAGGTTGAGGAACCCACTTATTTTATTTAAGTCACATTGCAGCACATAGGACATGTCTTTATCGGGCCCATGGGAGTGGCCTTGTAAAACAGGCAATGAGGCACCAGTGAAGACTTCAGATGTAGCCTGTGTTGGAACAGATAGACAGTAAACATCAATGGCTGAGAATAGTCTTCATCGAAAGATGTTGAGAAACATGGAAATGGATAGTCTTATGTCACTGCTATATTTTATTTTTTAATCTGTTTCTTTGTTATCCTTCCCTTTTATTAATATGTAATTAATATTTTTTTTTAAATTAATTACAAATTGTTATTAATTATTATTATATTAATTATAAATTGTTATTGATTAATGTCATATTAATTATAAATTGTGATTAATTATAATCAGTAGGCAACTGTCAGTCCCTGGGGACCGCCGATTTGTGCCGCCAGTTTCAGGAACATCGTCTGCTATGGCTGTAAAGTCCGGTGCAGGAGTGGCAGCCTGTGCCATATAGTCCATACAAAAATGTTGATACTGTTTGGTTCTGAGGCTGGTTTCCTGTCAGACGTCCCCTACTATAGCTTGCTGTGCTTGGCCTCTTTCAAACTGTGACAGTCTGTTTTTTTACTGTCTGCCCAAAGTGTCTGTGTCAGTGCTGATCTCTTCCAGCTGTCTGTGTCAGTGCTGATCTCTTCCAGCTGTCTGTGTCAGTGCTGATCTCTTCCAGCTGTCTGTGTCAGTGCTGATCTCTTCCAGCTGTCTGTGTCAATGCTGATCTCTTCCAGCTGTCTGTGTCAATGCTGATCTCTTCCAGCTGTCTGTGTCAGTGCTGATCTCTTCCAAGTGTCTATGTCAATGCTGATCTCTTCCAAGTGTCTGTGTCAGTGCTGATCTCTTCCAAGTGTCTATGTCAATGCTGATCTCTTCCAAGTGTCTGTGTCAATGCTGATCTCTTCCAAGTGTCTGTGTCAATGCTGATCTCTTCCAGCTGTCTGTGTCAATGCTGATCTCTTCCAGCTGTCTGTGTCAATGCTGATCTCTTCCAAGTGTCTGTGTCAATGCTGATCTTTTCTAGCTGTCTGTGTCAATGCTAATCTCTTCCAGCTGTCTGTGTCAGTGCTGATCTCTTCCAGCTGTCTGTGTCAGTGCTGATCTCTTCCAAGTCTCTGTGTCAATGCTGATCTCTTCCAGCTGTCTGTATCAATGCTGATCTCTTCCAGCTGTCTGTGTCAGTGCTGATCTCTTCCAGCTGTCTGTGTCAGTGCTGATCTCTTTCAAGTGTCTGTGTCAGTGCTGATCTCTTTCAAGTCTCTGTGTCAATGCTGATCTCTTCCAGCTGTCTGTGTCAGTGCTGATCTCTTCCAGCTGTCTGTGTCAGTGCTGATCTCTTTCAAGTGTCTGTGTCAGTGCTGATCTCTTTCAAGTGTCTGTGTCAGTGCTGATCTCTTCCAGCTGTCTGTGTCAATGCTGATCTCTTCCAGCTGACTGTGTCAATGCTGATCTCTTCCAGCTGTCTGTGTCAGTGCTGATCTCTTCCAAGTGTCTGTGTCAATGCTGATCTCTTCCAGCTGTCTGTGTCAATGCTGATCTCTTCCAGCTGTCTGTGTCAATGCTGATCTCTTCCAAGTGTCTGTGTCAATGCTGATCTCTTCCAAGTGTCTGTGTCAGTGCTGATCTCTTCCAGCTGTCTGTGTCAGTGCTGATCTCTTCCAGCTGTCTGTGTCAGTGCTGATCTCTTTCAAGTGTCTGTGTCAGTGCTGATCTCTTCCAGCTGTCTGTGTCAGTGCTGATCTCTTCCAGCTGTCTGTGTCAGTGCTGATCTCTTCCAGCTGTCTGTGTCAGTGCTGATCTCTTCCAAGTCTCTGTGTCAATGCTGATCTCTTCCAAGTGTCTGTATCAATGCTGATCTCTTCCAGCTGTCTGTGTCAGTGCTGATCTCTTCCAGCTGTCTGTGTCAGTGCTGATTTCTTCCAGCTGTCTGTGTCAATGCTGATCTCTTCCAAGTGTCTGTGTCAATGCTGATCTCTTCCAGCTGTCTGTGTCAATGCTGATCTCTTCCAGCTGTCTGTGTCAGTGCTGATCTCTTCCAGCTGTCTGTGTCAGTGCTGATCTCTTCCAGCTGTCTGTGTCAGTGCTGATCTCTTCCAAGTGTCTGTGTCAGTGCTGATCTCTTCCAAGTGTCTGTGTCAATGCTGATCTCTTCCAAGTGTCTGTGTCAATGCTGATCTCTTCCAAGTGTCTGTGGTCAGTGCTGATCTCTTCCAAGTGTCTGTGTCAATGCTGATCTCTTCCAAGTGTCTGTGGTCAGTGCTGATCTCTTCCAAGTGTCTGTGTCAATGCTGATCTCTTTAAAGTTGCATATTATTATTATATTAATTAAGATTATATTGATTATCCATTTATAATTAATATTAACTAAAACAATTATGTTATTTAGGGCACGAGAAACTCACCAACTTGCTGAAGCCAATCAGGAAAAGAACGCCCGTCTCAAGGAGGCATTTGGTTTGACAGATTATATTGAGGGCAGCGCTTTTGATCCTGATAGAAAAGCCAAAGAAGAAGCAGCAAAGGCAGCAGCAGCCTTGGCCCAGAAAAAATACACGTATGTAAATTTGAACATTTCTTTGACCTGGATCTGTGTGTTTGTGTGTACCAGACATCAGTAAGTGTGAACATTTCTGGGACATGGATCTGTGTGTGTACCAGACATCAGTAAGTGTTTGAACATTTATGTGACCTGGATCTGTGTGTTTGTGTGTACCAGACATCAGTAAGTGTGAACATTTCTGTGACATGGATCTGTGTGTACCAGACATCAGTAAGTGTGAACATTTCTGGGACATGGATTTGTGTGTACCAGACATCAGTAAGTGTGAACATTTCTGGGACATGGATCTGTGTGTACCAGACATCAGTAAGTGTGAACATTTCTGTGACATGGATTTGTGTGTACCAGACATCAGTAAGTGTGAACATTTCTGTGACATGGATTTGTGTGTACCAGACATCAGTAAGTGTGAACATTTCTGGGACATGGATTTATGTGTACCAGACATCAGTAAGTGTGAATATTTCTGGGACATGGATTTGTGTGTACCAGACATCAGTAAGTGTGAACATTTCTGGGACATGGATTTGTGTGTACCAGACATCAGTAAGTGTGAACATTTCTGGGACATGGATTTGTGTGTACCAGACATCAGTAAGTGTGAACATTTCTGTGACATGGATTTGTGTGTACCAGACATCAGTAAGTGTGAACATTTCTGTGATGACATGGATTTGTGTGTACCAGACATCAGTAAGTGTGAACAGTTCTGTGACATGGATTTGTATGTACCAGACATCAGTAAGTGTGAACAGTTCTGTGACATGGATTTGTGTGTACCAGACATCAGTAAGTGTTTGAACATGTCTGTGACATGGATCTGTGTGTGTTTGTGTGTACCAGACATCAGTAAGTGTTTGAACATTTATGTGACATGGATCTGTGTGTGTTTGTGTGTACCAGACATCAGTAAGTGTTTGAACATTTCTGCGACACATCATGAAGTCTGATCTGGTCATCCTATCAAGAATGCAACAGATGTATCCGTGCAGCCGAGGGGAGGATTAGATGTGACAGGCGAGTTACGGTTGACTCTGTAGCAGCTGCAGTAGGGTGCTCACATGGTTCAGCATTTAACATAATGCATAATTGATTGAAATTTAAGAAAGTGTGCCCAAGGTAGGTACCCAGACAATTGATGGAAGAACACAAAATGAACCGATTAGGCCTGCCCTTGCAACATCTCTGTTGAAATGCAGAAGAAGGAGAGGACATGCTGAACAGGATTATTACTGTGGACTAACCATGGGTCTTCACTACTAGCTTGAATCAAAGCATGCTTCAGTGCAGTGAAACATCCATCTTCGCCCTCTGTTAAAAATTCAAGGTTATGCCGTCAGCAGGGGAGGTTATGCCGTCAGCAGGGGAGGTTATGCCGTCAGCAGGGGAGGTTATGCCATCAGCAGGGGAGGTTATGCCGTCAGCAGGGGAGGTTATGCCGTCAGCAGGGGAGGTTATGCCGTCAGCAGGGGAGGTTATGCCGTCAGCAGGGGAGGTTTTGCCGTCAGCAGGGGGAGGTTATGCCGTCAGCAGGGGAGGTTTTGCTGACAGTGTTCTGGGATTGTCGAGGAGTGCATTTAACCAATTTAAAAAAAAACAAAAAACAAAGAGGTCACGGTGTGAATGCTGATTCATACTGTAAAGTTTTTTGGATGCTTCATTGAAGAAAACGTTCAGGCCTGCTGACTAGAGGAGTACTGCTCGTTCGTGACAATACCAGACCACACACGGCTTGGTTAACTCAGGAGAAAATAACCATCTAGGGTGGGAAAGTCTGAAACATCCACCAAACAGTCTCGACTTGCGCCCCTAGCGATTTCCACCTTTTTGGTCAACACAAACCCACCTTGGGGGGGAGATATTTTGTGAATGACGCAGAAGTTGAATGTGAAAGGAAAATGTGGTTTAGAGAGAGCACACTGTTCTATGCAGCAGGTTTGAGAAAACTGATAAAACAATGGGACAAGCGCATCAGTGTTGGTGCAAAAACAAACGATTTTCAAGTCATTATCTTTAGTTTATGAGTTGTGTATCGTATATCCGAGGCATGGTATGAGTCGTGTATCATTTATCTAAGAAATGTACAAGTGATGAATCATATATCTAAGATATGTTTTGAGTGTTTGATCATATATGTGTGTGTGTATCAGAGTTATGGTATGAGTTGTATATCTGAGGTATGGTATGTGGTGTATCATACATCTAATATATAGTATGAGTGGTTTATCATATATCTAAGATATGTTACGGGTGGTGTAAATAACAGCTATGGTATAAGTGGTGTATCATATATCTGTGGTATGGTACAAGTGGTGTATTTGAGCATTGGTATCTTGTAGCATTCTGAACATACCATCATCTTGTTTTGTTATCTTGTTATAGCATTCTAAACATACCATCATCTTGTTTTGTTACCTTGTAGCATTCTGAACATACCATCATCTTGTTTTGTTATCTTGTTATAGCATTCTGAACATACCATCATCTTGTTTTGTTACCTTGTAGCATTCTAAACATACCATCATCTTGTTTTGTTACCTTGTAGCATTCTGAACATACCATCATCTTGTTTTGTTATCTTGTTATAGCATTCTAAACATACCATCATCTTGTTTTGTTACCTTGTAGCATTCTAAACATACCATCATCTTGTTTTGTTACCTTGTAGCATTCTGAACATACCATCATCTTGTTTTGTTATCTTGTTATAGCATTCTAAACATACCTTCATCTTGTTTTGTTACCTTGTAGCATTCTGAACATACCATCATCTTGTTTTGTTATCTTGTAGCATTCTAAACATACCTTCATCTTGTTTTGTTACCTTGTAGCATTCTAAACATACCATCATCTTGTTTTGTTACCTTGTAGCATTCTGAACATACCATCATCTTGTTTTGTTATCTTGTAGCATTCTAAACATACCATCATCTTGTTTCCTCTTCAAGGGTAGTCCAAAGTTCTGATGAGGAACAAGACAAAGAAACTGCTTCCTCACCTGCCAAAAAGAAGAAGAAATCAAGGTGAGTTTTTGTAAAAGCTTTTTTCCTTCTTTCTTTTAAATAAAAAAAAAAAAAATCTGTAGACCCCACAGTTGAAGTTAGTTGCTAATCCTTTACAGGGCCAACCCCAACATATTTTGGCTACTGTGTTTTTTTTTTAAAGACACATTTTATGTTCAGTAGTTTGCCATTGCTTTCATAACGGTCAGCTCTCTGTACCACTGTCGAAACCAACGCAAGATATTTTGCTGCATAATCACTCGCAGCTGGTATCGAACCCGTCACCCCGGCATTAGGAAGCATGTTTGCAACACCTAAGCCACAGATCCTGACTACATATACACAGTGCTACAAAGAATTCCTAAGAGTGGAGACACAGAATTTGATATATCCAAATTAATAGTATGACGTAAAGTTAAAATACAAAAGCATGGAAATCAAACTCATACTTTCAGATATACGTGTGAAAATACACACACCGGAGACATGTCAGGGCAGATGTACAGCCACAAACGCACATTCACAAACAAAAGCATACACATTCCGAGGCACGCACATTGACAGCACACACCATCACTGCACATACACACAGACACAGCACATGCACACAGACACAACACATACACACAGACACAACGCATATACACAGACACAATGCATACACACAGACACAACACATACACACAGACACAACACATACACACAGACACAGCGAATACACACAGACACTATAACACAAAATACACAGGCATTCACAGCACTCACAGACATAGTACACAGGTATACACAAAGACTCACCGAAGCAATACTCACACATACACAACATTGCATCCACAACACTCACACATACACAACATTCAGACACAGCATACACAGACACAGCATACACAGACACAGCATACACAGACACAGCATACACAGACACAGCGCTGACAAACATAATACTCACACATACACAACATTCAGACACAGCATACACAGACACAGCGCCGACAAACACAATACTCACACATACACAACATTCAGACACAGCATACACAGACACAGCGCTGACAAACACAATACTCACACATACACAACATTCAGACACAGCATACACAGACACAGCGCTGACAAACACAATACTCACACATACACAACATTCAGACACAGCATACACAGACACAGCATACACAGACACAGCGCTGACAAACACAATACTCACACATACACAACATTCAGACACAACATACACAGACACAGCGCTGACAAACACAATACTCACACATACACAACATTCAGACACAGCATACACAGACACAGCATACACAGACACAGCGCTGACAAACACAATACTCACACATACACAACATTCAGACACAGCATACACAGACACAGCGCTGACAAACACAATACTCACACATACACAACATTCAGACACAGCATACACAGACACAGCGCTGACAAACACAATACTCACACATACACAACATTCAGACACAGCGCTGACAAACACAATACCCACACATACACAACATTCAGACACAGCATACACAGACACAGCATACACAGACACAGCATACACAGACACAGCATACACAGACACAGCGCTGACAAACACAATACTCACACATACACAACATTCAGACACAGCATACACAGACACAGCATACACAGCATACACAGACACAGCATACACAGACACAGCATACACAGACACAGCATACACAGACACAGCGCTGACAAACACAATACTCACACATACACAACATTCAGACACAGCATACACAGACACAGCGCCGACAAACACAATACTCACACATACACAACATTCAGACACAGCATACACAGACACAGCGCTGACAAACACAATACTCACACATACACAACATTCAGACACAGCATACACAGACACAGCGCTGACAAACACAATACTCACACATACACAACATTCAGACACAGCATACACAGACACAGCATACACAGACACAGCGCTGACAAACACAATACTCACACATACACAACATTCAGACACAACATACACAGACACAGCGCTGACAAACACAATACTCACACATACACAACATTTAGACACAGCATACACAGACACAGCATACACAGACACAGCGCTGACAAACACAATACTCACACATACACAACATTCAGACACAGCATACACAGACACAGCGCTGACAAACACAATACTCACACATACACAACATTCAGACACAGCATACACAGACACAGCGCTGACAAACACAATACTCACACATACACAACATTCAGACACAGCGCTGACAAACACAATACCCACACATACACAACATTCAGACACAGCATACACAGACACAGCATACACAGACACAGCATACACAGACACAGCATACACAGACACAGCGCTGACAAACACAATACTCACACATACACAACATTCAGACACAGCATACACAGACACAGCATACACAGCGCTGACAAACACAATACTCACACATACACAACATTCAGACACAGCATACACAGACACAGCGCTGACAAACACAATACTCACACATACACAACATTCAGACACAGCGCTGACAAACACAATACTCACACATACACAACATTCAGACACAGCATACACAGACACAGCGCTGACAAACACAATACTCACACATACACAACATTCAGACACAGCATACACAGACACAGCGCTGACAAACACAATACTCACACATACACAACATTCAGACACAGCATACACAGACACAGCATACACAGACACAGCGCTGACAAACACAATACTCACACATACACAACATTCAGACACAGCATACACAGACACAACATACACAGACACAGCATACACAGACACAGCATACACAGCATACACAGACACAGCATACACAGACACAGCATACACAGACACAGCATACACAGACACAGCGCACACAGACACAGCGCTGACATACACAACACTCACACTTTGAACATACACAGACAGAACAGTACACATATACACAAGACATACATACAAGTAATCGCACAGACACAACACACACATACAAAATAGACGCGTAGAACCAATAAGACTAACATATACAGACACATAGAACCAATAAGACTAACATATACAGACACATAAAACCAATAAGATTTACATTTACAGGCACATTAAACCAATAAGACTAACATACATGGGCACACACAGACAC